AAACCGAGAGGAATCGCGACGATATTTGTACTCTATCACTGCAAGGCAACTAGTTGGAAATCGCAGCCCAAACACAACGCTTTTATGTTTCAACACCAGATGGCGTTGTTTCGACTCGACTCAACTGTCCTTAAAGGACAAACCCGAGGAAGTGAGGACGGTGACATCTCCCCTTTCAAAAACGCCATCTATTGGATAGATATAGAACTCAATCCTCGAATATCAAGGCTCCTCAAGGCGGTCAGTTGCAAAGCCTTAGCTTCAACATCAAATAGTGACGAGATTTGTACTGCAAGGCCACTAGTTGGAAATCGCAGCCCAAAAACAACGCATTTATGTTTCAACACCAGATGGCGTTGTTTTGACTCGACTCAACTATCCTTAAAGGACAAGCCCGAGGAAGTGAGGACGGTGACATCTCCCCTTTCGATAACGCCATCTATTGGATAGATATACAACGCAATCCTTGAATATCAAGGCTCCTCAAGGCGCTCAGTTGCAAAGCCTAGCCTCGACATCAACTAGTGACGATATTTGTACTCTATCTATCATTGCAAGGCAACTAGCTGGAAGTCGCAGCCCAGACACAACGCTTTTATGTTTCAACACCAGATGGCGTTGTTTCGACTTGACTCAACTGTCCTTAAAGGACAAGCCTGAGGAAGTGAGGACGGTGACATCTCCCCTTTCGATAACGCCATCTATTGAATAGATATAGAACTCAATTCTTGAATATCAAAGATAAACGACCTAGTTGCTTTGTAGTGAAAGCTACAGTGGAAGACAGAGGGCGTTATGGTCGGCGAGCGACATTGAAGCTTGGCTGACTGCCTTATGGAGCTGTGAAAAGTGAAGTCTTAATAATAATATTATTATTATTGGCTTATCAAAGCACCTGACTCTCGCTTTCCTCAGGTCGAGTGGGCTAAAGTCGGAAACTGAGGGGTTCATTATGGCTTGCCAAGATGGTGTCTTCAACACCTTAGTCTACCGCAGTCGCATGAGGGGTAAAGAGGTTCCTGACACAAGGTGCAGGGTCTGCCGCGAGGCGCCCGAGACCCAATGCACTTGCTATCAGCAGGTCCAGCATATGTCCAGAGAATCAACGTCACTATTTAATATGAAATGTATGCTTCAATCATTTGGATTGGATATAATAATTTCAGACTACACCAGAATTTTCTTATTAGTCAGTGGGCTATGCTTGAAGACTGGCAGTCAACAAATCTAAAGCAAATGAACTTTGAACGTTCAAGCCAGTCTCTATATACCTACACAGTAGGTTTAATGGACTGACGCCTATCAGAAAACAACTACCCCCCTGGCTAATACTACGAAGGTAAATTCTTTCAGAGTATTTCATTCCTCTTCCGAAGTTGGAGCGAACATCACAAAGTATCACTCCATCTAGTGGACGAGGTATTAACCAACTGCAGATCCTGAATTTGCCCGATTCCTCTGAATAAGGAAGAAAAACTTTCTTATTAGTCAGTGGGCTAAGCATAGCCCACAAGCAAATTACGGATATGCAGTTGGTTAGTACCCCGTCCACTAGATGGAGTGACATTTTGTGATGTTCGCTCTTACTTGGGAAGAGGAATGAAATGCTCTGAAAGAAATCCGATTTTTAATTGTGGAATATCATTGACTTTGGACTAGGTCGGTGATGGTCACTATCTTGCACTGATGAGTGGCTAATAAGCCTGAAACCGGTCTGCAAGTGTGCCCGTTCCAGAATTGAAGGTCGACTCTTTCAGGTTTATTGCCAATTACATATGCAGGAAATTTTCTGTGTTTTCTGTGAAGATTCCTGCACTGACGCCTGTCGGGTATAATTCAACGCCCTTCGTGGTATTAGCCAGGGGAGTAGTTGTTTTCTGATAGGCGTCAGTCCATTAAACCTACTGTGTAGGTATAGAGACTGGCTTGCACGTTTGAAGTTCATTTGCTTTATAAGTCTGTTTTTGACTAGAATTTCAATGATCTTTGATATAATAGAAGTTATGGTAATAAATCTATAGTTATTGCAATCATTACCTAGGATCCCCCTTTTTTAGGATTGGTGTTGCTCGACATAATTTCAATTACATAATTACAATTATTATTATTATGATTATTCACTGGGCAGAGCGTTATATTGTTTGATAGTTGTAAATAAAACTACGAGAAAAGCAGGCTGTCGATTGTTTTGGAATAATAAAAGTACGTCGGTTTCGCGTCCTTAAATTAATTATTCTGAGATTTGAAAGTTTTATATCTTCCATAAATATAATTTGACTTTTTGTAAATGAGGAATTTATGTGTATTGACAAGTAACTGCCAGGCTTTAGCAATCGGTAACCAACCTGACTCCTCGAACTTGGTCGAATTTTCTCACATCATAAGAAAGACGAATGCAATTGTTTTGTATTTTTTGTAAACAATTTACATCAGTTTGTATCAAAGCAGGCCCGTAGATTATATCGCAATATGCTAATCTAGACAATATGAGAGGTTTCTCAAACTTTCAACTTCAATTTGGAAGTCATAATATCTCTATTTTGATAGAATTGACGTAATACTGTATAAGCTACGACAAAGTGAATTTACATGTTTGTCAAATCTCAGATCAGCCTCTAGCCACAAACCCAAGTTCTTTCTGTAATTATTTGTAGTAAGTCTTGTCCAAGTTGGATTTTGAGAATTCTTAGAGATTTTTTAGAATTCAATTTCAGGTTATGGGCTACAGATTCAGTAACTTTTGTAGATCGCTGTCAATTTTTTCCATTGCCACCTGCCAGTTGCTTGGAGGAAATCGATAATATAACTGAGTGTCATCTGCATAATGATGAACTGTGCAGTGATCAATTATTTCATAGAAGTCAGAAATATATAGAGAGAACAGAATGGGGCCTATGATGGATCCCTGAGGTACTTCATAGATAAAAAGTAAAGCACTAAAAGTGACACTTTCCTACACAGAATATTATGGTCTAATGTACTGAATGCTTTACTGTAGTCCAAGAGTACCATGGCAGTTACTTCATTATTATCAGTTGCTTTGAATACATCTTGGGTGATGTTGACAAGAGTGGTGGTTTTGGTGCTATAGAATGTACAAAATCCAGATTGAACATGAACAGGTTTTGTAGAAAGGACAAACTTTTCAGTGCCGTTACTGTGTAAATTCAAAGTATGTTTCACAAAGAAAAATGTACTATTTATTAGTAACATTCAACAATTTTGCCTATCGAAGAGAGACCTGATAAATTGTAGATACTAGCTTCTTTAGAATAAAAAAGAAGTTAACTTGAGGTTTTTGAGAGTATGTTTTGAAATATTTGAAGGGTGTTGAATGATTTTTTAAATACTCCGTATAGTACAAAGTGATCCCCTGAAACAAGTCTTTTGCATTCGTGATGCACTGTTTGGAACCTTTGGTCTAGTAAAGAATATTACAAGAGTTCTATCCCAACATCAAACCGTTACTTCAACACCTTGACATGTTTCTCAGTCACCAAGTGGTCATCTTCAAGAGGAAGATTAAACTTCCTCTCAATCTTCCTCTTGAAGATGATCACTTGGTGATCGAAACACCTGTCGAGGTGTTAAAAATAACGGTTTGGTGTTGGGATAGGACCCCAGTAATATTCAAGTCTTTTGTAATTTTGCCACTATCCATATTTCTCTCCTCCCCAGTGAGTTCAACAAAGAAAAACTGTGATTTCTTCCCCAAAACGACTCTTGTTCAATAGAATACTCTAGATATCAACTGGGTCTTGGAGGATTCAGTAAATAATACTTTTACTTACAAAATAATTTTATACAAATCGCTTACATCTATCTTAAGTTCTAACTAGTAATACATTTTAGCATCCCATAATTGTGCCATCTGGATTCGTTTTCAATTTAGGGAAACACAATTTTTTTCCCGAGTTGAACACACATTGATTCGTGAAAATACCACAAGTGGATGACTGGGTATAGTATACACTAGGAGTTTTCTTTCCAGTGTACAGATTCTTCGAACCCGTCTCAGATCTTGTCACAGATACAAAATTGGGCAAGGCTTTGCCATTTTTCAGCTGATACCTGACGGGTGAATATGCTGGCTGATAGGTATATCCCGCCCCATAGCCATATTGTCCATTCCTGAGATGAGTATTCGACGTCACCGCGTAGAAAGGCTTCTTATAAATGACTTTCCCAGTACCTGGCGATAAACTAGCACTTTGAGCTTGTGAATGCTTCCCTACAGTGTAAGTGTTGGCACCATCTGCTATGGATTTAACAGTACCTCTGAAACCGAGAGGAATCTTATACCCAGATGTTCCAGGAACTGTTTCTCCCGGTTGTATAACCGCCCCTTCACTAGGAAAGTCCCCTTTACTTTGGTGTACGGTTACATCTAGGTCTTCTAGAGGATCTAGCACGATATGCTGTCTCTGATTGTGATCCCGTTGCGTTATTATACTCTTTGTGGCTGGTTTTTCAGTTTCACCGTCATAATCTTCATCGTAGTACTCGTCATCATACTCTTTATTCTCCTGACCATCAATTTCCAATTGTTTAGCAGGAGGGCTATTTGAAATGCTCGTATTTTTGGAGGCCACTTTCGGAGTGACAGTATTATTGATATTTTTTCTAGACGTTTCCACCGAAGGAATTTGTGGTACTGGAGCCGAGTCTTCATTGAAAGTTATATTTCTTGGTTTGAAAGGGCCTTTGGGGGAGTTTGCCGTATTGAATGTCCTCCCAGAAGCAGCTTGGGCGGCTCCAATATACTTTACTCCATATCGGAACTTTCCTTGTATCTGAGCTTGGGTCATTCCGGTGTATGTACCACCCTGGGCACCTGCCGTACCACCACCTCTAAATGGGCCCGTTCCGTTATCAGTATCGTTTTCGTCATACGGAAGAAATCCAATCTGAGCTTGGGACGAGGTGCTTCCAGGCCCGTTGGCTTGGGCATCTGCCATGCCGCCTTTTTCAGAAGCTTGAACCTGAGTCTGTGTCCCATGAGTAGATCCTCCGCTTTGCGCACTCGACGAGGTATGTCCAGTTTCAAGCGATAATATTACTTGAGACTGTGATTGTCCTAAACCGCCTCTACCTTGAGCTGAACTCTGAGCGCCTTCCTTTCCACCCTGCACCTGAGTTTGCGCTCCTCTTTTACCATCGTCAGAACCTGCAGAAGCACTGAAGGAACCTGAACCAGAATATGTTCCAGAAACTTGAGACTGTGCAGTGCCACCACCATAGGTACCTTGAGCTTGACCTGAAGCTAAAGTGCCATTGTCTGTTTGTTGAACGGATGTTTGGACCTGGGAGTCTGAATCATCAGAGGCCATTCCAGGGAATCGTCCATCAATGTATTGAGCAGGTCCGGCCTGTCCAGGCCCTCCAATCTGACCTGGATAACCTCCAACTTGACCCGGCCCCCCTGTTTGTCCTGGTCCTACTTGTCCAGGCCCAACTTGACCTGGATAACCTCCAACTTGACCGGGCCCCCCTATTTGTCCTGGTCCTACTTGTCCAGGCCCACCAACTTGACCGGGCCATCCACCAACTTGACCTGGTCTTGAAGTTTGACCTGGCCCACCAATTTGTCCAGGTCCTAATTGTCCCGTTCCTCCTACCTGTCCTGGACCTTGGACTTGACCTGGCCAACCAGCAACTTGTCCTGGCCAACCTTCAACTTGTCCAGGCCCGCCAACTTGACCTGGCCATCCACCAACTTGACCTGGTCTTGAAATTTGACCTGGTCCACCAATTTGTCCTGGTCCTCTTATTTGTCCCGGTTCTCCAACCTGTCCTGGCCCTTGTACTTGGCCTGGCAAACCACCAACTTGACCAGGCCAGCCACCAACTTGACCAGGCCAAACACCGACTTGACCTGGACCAACGACCTGACCTGCACCACCGACCTGCCCTGGCCAACCTTCAACTTGCCCTGGCACTCCTATTTTTCCTGGTATTGCAATTGGAACTGGCCCGCTAATTTGTCCTGGTCCACCAACTTGTGTGGGTCCTCCGACTTGACCTGGCCAACCTACTACTTGTCCTGGTACTCCGACTCGACCTGGCCAACCCCCTATTTGACCTGGTCCTCCTACTTCTCCTGGTCCTCCGACTTGACCTGGCCAACCTCCTACTTGCCCTGGCCAACCTCCTACTTGCCCTGGCCAACCTCCTACTTGCGCTGGCCCTGCTACTTGTCCTGTTCCTCCGACTCGACCAGGCCAACCTCCAACTTGCCCTGGCCCAACTACTTGTCCTGGTCCTCCTACTTGCCCTGGCCCTGCTACTTGTCCTAGTCTTCCAACTTGCCCTGGCCCTGCTACTTGCCCTGTTCCTCCGACTCGACCAGGCCAACCTCCAACTTGCCCTGGCCCTACTACTTGTCCTGGTCCTCCGACTTGACCCGGCCAACCTCCTATTTGCCCTGGACCCCCGACTTGACTTGGCCAACCTCCTACTTGTCCCGGCCCTCCTACTTGACTTGGCCTTACAACTTGACCTGGCCACCCCCCAGATTGATCTGGTTGACCACCCTGACCTGCCCCTACTTGTCCCGGCCTCAAAAGTTGACCCGGCCACCTACCAGTTTGAATAGGTTGACCACTCTGGCCTGGCCAACCATCAGTTCGTCCTGGAGAAGTAACACCTTGACCTGACCAACCTCCTGTTGTTCCGTAACTAGGTTCACCAGGTCGTGGTGGACCTTGAGGACCTGATGCATATCTGTTCGATTCATATTGGCCTGAAAATTGTCCGGAAAACCTCCCAGAATGACCTTGATTACTTTGATATTCACCTCGAAGGTGACCACCAAATGTTCCAGAATCTTTTCCAGGCCAACCACCGATCTGCCCTGGACCGTTGGGCCAACCACCAGACCCTCCAGCTGGCCATCCACCAATTTGACCTGGTCCTCCAACTTGACCAGGCCCTACAACTTGACCAGGCCCTCCAACTTGACCTGGCCCTCCCATTTGTCCTGGCCCTCGAATTTGGCCTGGAGCTATGATTTGTCCTGGCTCTCCAATTTGACCTGGACCTCTAATTTCACCGGGACCTCCAATCTGACCTGGCCCTAGAATTTGGCCTGACCCTCCAACTTGACTTGGCCCTCCCATTTGTCCTGGCCCTCCAATTTGACCTGGAGCTAGAATTTGTCCTGCTCCTCCAATTTGACCTGGTCCACCGATTTGAGCTGGTCCTTCAATTTGACCTGGTCCACCAATTTGACCTGGTCCTCCAATTTGACCTGGCGCTCCAAACTGACCTGGCCCTAGAATTTGTCCCGGCACTCCAATTTGACCTGGCCCTGCACCTTGCCTGGGCACTTCAATTTGACCCGGCCATCCGCCAACTTGTCCTGGACCACCTATTTGTCCTGGCCATCCTCCCACTTGTCCTGGTTCACCAACGACTTGTCCGGGTGTACCAATTTGTCCAGGTCCAGTGACTTTTCCTGGTAGTGGACCCTGTCCTGGTCCGGGACCTTCAACTTGTCCTGGATAGCCTCCAACTTGACCTGGTCTACTTACTTGTCCTGGCCCACTTATTTGTCCTGTACTTCCTACTTGTTCTGGTCCAACTACGTGACCTGGTACACCTATTTGTCCTGGTCTCAGGGTTTGTCCAGGTGCTCCGATTTGACCTGGCCAACCTCCAACTTGTCCTGGTCTTAATTCTTGACCTGGTCCACTTGGTTGCCTTGGCCCTATTACTTGTCCTGGGGCTCCAATTTGACCTGGCCAACCTCCAACTTGTCCTGGCTCTATCACTTGTCCTGGTCCTCCCACTTGCCCAGGGCCTATTACTTGACCTGGCCCTCCTACTTGCCCCGGTCCTCCAGCTTGCCCTGACCACCCTTCAACTTGTGTAGGCCAACCTTCGACTTGTCCTGGTCCTCCTATTTGTCCCGGTCCACCAATTTGCCCTGGTCTTCCAATTTGTCCTGGACCACCAATTTGACCGGGCCCTCCAGTTTGTCCGGGCCATCCCTCAACTTGGCCAGGTCTTCCAATTTGTCCCGGTCCTCCAACTTGACCAGGCGCTACTTTTATCGGTTCTGTGTATTGTCCCGGTTGCCTTCCCATAAATACGGATTGTTCTTGATCATAACCTCCTGCGCCAAAACATTCATCACAACCAAATGGAATGCTTTGACTCTGCGCCTGACCCATACCATTGCTACCACCTGAAAGAAAACACATTATAAACTTCTCTTCTCAGAATGCTTGAAGGGTATACATATAACTACATAGCTCTGATATTTTCAAGTCTTTCAGGAGGAAAATATAAATACTTACTGACGACTGCTTTTGATCCTTCATCCGTAGATTCTGCTTCCGCCTTTCCGGATTCGTCAGATTTACCGAAACTGAGGTACTGGGACTGAGTCTGTCCTCTCACTCTTCCTCTGAAAAAGTGATTCGTAGATCTCCTTAACCTCTTGATGATATTGTTCTCATCGTTTGGTAGATCGCGACTTTCGTCGTTTTTGACCAGATATGTCGGAAATCCCCTGCAGAATTCTGATATTCTTTCTCCTGCTAACTGCCATATCTGAAACAAAAAATCAGTTCTCAAGTAAAGAGGACTTCAAATGAACGTATTATAGCATGAGAAGAATTATTTTCTCGGCTTGGAAGTAATATTATGACTTTTGACATTCTGTGGCTATTGTCACTGTATAAATTGTATAAGTGTATTTCAGTGAGACTTTCTTTGATATATATATATAAATTATTTTCTAACAATATACATTGTTTCCGAGGTAATTTCTATGCAAATACCTTACAAAAATCTAAAGGCGTCATATCAGGTGATCTAGCAGGCCATTCTATGGTACCACTCTTTGTTAGATTCGAATGACGTGTCAAAATTATGTCCCATATACTACTTTATGTATTCCATCAATGAAAGTTTCGATACTATAACTTACTAATATTCTAATATTCTCTCGGAAGCAAGTGTTTGTTTACTTAAGAAAAGACTGAGAATACAGTCCGTTCCTAAGATGGGAGGGGGTGGACGTTTGACGTAGATTTGTCCCGTCCAGGACATTTTAACTCACCTGACGCTTTGACAATAGCTCGTTGTGTAGGAAGTCTTTTGGTATCTTCTTTCCGCCGGCCATCCACTTTGTTATGAGGCTGTCACCTCTTGTGAATACTTCTATGATGCATTTGGATTCTATGAGATCTTTATATGCTATAGCGTGCTGAAAATAGAGTTCCTTCAGTTTTTTCTTTTCTTATTAGAAAGTTCATGTTGATTATACGAACTGTCAGAAATTTGGTATAATGTTATTGGTACCAGAACAGGATATATCAGTCCAGAGGTCTCCAAACTTCGAAGCCTTCGGGCCATAATGATTTTTGCAGTTTGTTCCAAGGGCCAATTTCTGCCCTTAACTATATTTCTAGACTAGGATAGTCGCAAAGTGCGTGACCTGAGCAAACTTACGCTTTTTTTGAATTTCAATTATTATTGTGTATTGTGACACTTGACGACATCTAGCGGCGAGTAGTGGTACTATGTACTATCTTTTTCACCTACCCGCTAGGTGGCATTAGGCGTAATTACATATTTGGAATAACCGCGTTGGTTCGAGAAAGTTCTGGTTCTAGCTAGTGTATGCCGATCACCTCGAGATGGCAGTGATAATTGCATATAAAAAGGCTAGCAGCGCAACTGCGAGTTAGTCTGCGTAGGAAAGGCGAACATCGTATGTGGATATAGTTAAATCTTCTTATTGAAGATGATCACTTGGTGTTGAAAATAACGCTTTGGTGTTGGGATAGAATTCCAGTTGGAATGATTGAAATACCTATCAATCTTTTAAGAAATCAGAAGAAGAGCAACTGATTGGCCTCCAATATCACTGGATTCAACTCAGTTCGAATTTTTTCTTTGGAGAAAGTTCGAATCTGTTGTTTGCAAAACAAAATTTGCTGGTATTTATGATCCAAAAAGAAGAATTGAAGGTGGAGTTTTGAGAATAGTTGAGAAAGAGTTCAAAAACAGACTCATTAACATATTTGTGAAAAAGGAGAAGGGGAAATTAAATTCCTCATCTTGTCAGACATAGTACCATCTACTGATGTCACCATAAGTTAGATCATTAAATTAGTGAGATGATACTTACCGTTTGGTAGTCCAAAAGTGTTCTAGACTTTGTAGGAGCTTCGGTCGTAGAAAAACTTGTGCTCAATTTGGTGATGATGTTCTGAAAAATGTTGTCTTCATTATAATCAGTTATTAGAGCAAAAAAGTTACGTTGAAACTATTATTGACTCCGATTTCTTTATTAAAACATCAAAGTTTTTTATGAAGTTTTTTGGATATAAAAATGAAATTATGTGTCACCCACATTGATAGAAATGTGAGTTCAATTTTTTCAAGGGTTGCCAAATTAATTGAAAAATATACATGATGTTCCTTAATAACATGCTAACTGGGTTATTTTTGAGCCCAATTTTAGTAAACACTTCATATGAATATTTTTTCTGAACGTCTCAACTTCCAAAGTGAGTAAAAATAAATTTTTTCACAACTAGGTGTTTTTTCCGGGAGAACTGTAAAATAAATTACGAAAATACAAGTTTACAAACACTAGTGGAGTACTTGAAAATAATTAAAAAAAAAAAACTTTTACGAATTTCGGTTTATGAAAAGTCGTTTGACAATTTTCAAATTTTTTGAACTGGTATATTCACTTCTGTTGAAATATTTTTTATGAGAAAAATACTATTTTTGAATAAATGGACAATTAGGTAGTTAAAAAAGGAAAATAAATATTGGAAGGGAGAATTGATAACGTCAAAAGAATTGATCATTTGACAAAAATGAATGTTCCATTTTGAGCCATTGGAGCATTTGACATTCTAGCCCAGGGCCGCCGCCATGGGGGGATTGGGGGGTGCTCCCCCCTGCTTTTTCGACTTGGTAGAAAGTTGGGAAATTTTGGGCCGTGAAGATTGAAAAAAATAATAGTAAAACAATGAATAAAAGTTAAAAAAATTAAAATGAGAGAAAAGAAAGGGAGAGGTGTTAAGAAAAGGGAAAGAACTAGGAAAGGGTTGGGATTTCCCAACATGCATAACTTGGAGATCTCATACTTTGAAATTTTGAGTTGTTTGAAACTTCAAAAAATTTTAATTTCTCCCAAGTAAGAGAACAGTCCACAAATTTTGAAGTGACAATTCTACGAAGTTCCCAACTTTTCGCTGTTTTTTTCGACTTGGAAAAGTTGGGAAATTTCGGGCCGTGAAGATAGAAAAAATACTAGTAGAAAACAATAAGCACAATATTATTAAAGTGTTGTTTCGTTTCATTAGTATTGAATATTCCTATACACGGTAGATATAGTGGAATAACAAGGACCTTGGTCCAAAGTAGAATAATTCACATTATTATTTTTATAATTACCAAAATTTATTTTAGTTTGTGCATACCCTAACTGGCATAAGCATTCAGCCAATCTTTGGATAACTAAGTAAGAAAATCAATATATTATAGTAGTAACTAATCCCTCGGCTTTCAATTTTTCGAAAGTTGGGAGCTGGTGGGGTTAGGAAAATTCGGATTTTCTTTTCGCTACGGCCCTGTTCTAGCTACATAATTTTTTTGTTGAACATTTCTGCAACGCACATAACCAATAAATACCGACATTACCATTTTCAAAACGAAGAATCATTTCATAACGTCTTGAATTATTTTCTAATATTATTCAGTACCTACTTTGTCTCTTTTATAGAGCGTCTAATCGTTTAAAAACGTAAATATGTGTATAATTCCGATTAAAGTAAAGTGGAACACGACTTTTCCAGTGAACCGTCGAGAGGAAGCAAAAAAACATTGTTGTGTTAGTAGTTGATAACACACTTTTAGGTCTAAATTTGAGAAAGCGGTTAAAATAATCTACGCATAACGATGATTTCTTCATCTTCTTATCAGAATTCATGGAATAGAATGTAGCATTGTATAGAAATAAATTATACAAGAATAGAAATTTTCCAGTAGATCGAAGAGGCCAACATGAATTAGGAGAATATGACATTCTTTTATAACGTACTTTGCCAAAGTGAAAATGTATTCTGCTTTGTTTGGTTTTCAACTGAGAATTTGGTTATAAAATATAAAAGCAGTCGGGAAAGAAAGGTTTTGTGTTCAAGTAAAAATTTATTGTGAGATTTTCACCAAACGATGGCCAAAAGATAGTTCTCAAAGTGAACACATTGGTTCGAGGTGTTTCAAGTTGAGGAATTGAGCAGTTGGATATATATTGCACTTGGTAGAATCAAGTGAGCTCATTCAGTCGATCATTTACAATATGAGTTGCTTCTGATATTTACAACCTTGTTTAAGAAATGAAAACTCACAGAACCACTAATAATTTGGTCAAATTTATTAAAAACAATAAAGAAACGACTCTAGTTTCGAAGAGATCAAAAGTATCAGAGTTGACTTGTGATTTATGCCCGAAATTCTATATTGGCCAAACTGGGAGAACCTTTTCCCAAATAATTAAAGGGCACATGATTGTGAAGATCAGTTCCAAATTTGTGAACCAGAAAAGCATTTCAATCACTGCTATGTCGTGTTAAATGTATAAGAACTAGGTTTGAAATTGAACTTTTTTGTATACTTAATCATTGATCGGGGTTTCTCATGTTGAAATTCGTAATTGGTTGATATATAATACAGGTAATTTCATCACAGATTTTTATTTCTGTAATAGTTGAACTCGAATTATTATTTCAAAAGAAATACTTTTATATGAACACTGAATTGTATGAAAAGTGTTTTTCTCTATTCAGTTTGTATTCCAAAGATTCGTTATGGAATCGAATCAGATTCCATTCACTGGATTGCTACACAATATAGGGCACCACTATTTCAATTCTAGGCCATGTTGCTTCGTTAGTAAATACGCAGTTGTCCCAACTATCAGAAAAGGGTCGTATTGATGTTTTGGGAAATCGAAAACCCTTCAACTGTGTAGTTTTGTTGTACATCACAAGTTTCTGGAATAAATTCATAATTTATCTGGATGGGCAAGTAAACTAACTGAATGTTTGAGTGGGAAATTTGGGAAACCATATTATTTATTTATTCAATGTTCTACAGGTTACATCTAACTGCAGAATGAGAATATAAGCCAAATTACAATACGATAAGTTATGAGTTAAAAACAATACATATAAAATCAGCGGAAGTAAAAATACCTAATCTAAGAGATGGAATATTAAAAAATGTCGAGCTAACAACATGTTGAAGTGCATTTGAAACAAATGTTATTATGCAGAGGTGAACGTTTCACAATATTTGTACTTATTGTTAGTAGATAAAAAGGATTATCTACTCTAGAGGTTGGTCTAGGTACATTTTAATTGAGTTTTCACAGAATATGTGGATCAATAATTAAATTATTAATCAGTTGAAAAAAATTGTGGAGTGACAATCACGACGGCGACTCAAGCTATTCATAGCATGTCTAACTAGCAATGCATTATGGGGAAATTGGTGGATATATATGTCTGATCTATAGGAGACAAATTTCAGGAAACGACATTGTACTGATTCAACTTCCTCTGTATACAACTGATGAGATGGGTTCCAAATTGTGGGTGCAAATTCTAATTTTGATCTAACGAAGGCATAGTATAAAGTTTTCGATGTAGATGAATCCGATAAACTCCTGGAGATTCGTGCAATTAATCCATACATCCTGTATTGATAGCCATTGTTGACAGCAATCTGTTTTAATGTAGTCAATTTAAAGTTAAAACACTACTACCCAGTTCTCTAAAACTCACCTGTATGAGTTCTAATATGCCCCTGCAGCAGCCACGGTCTCGAAAAGCACTTTCCACAATACAGGCACTTGCACCCTTGGTTATGTGTCCTCACATGCATGGAATAAGCAGGCATGCTCACGTAAATCTTGTCGCAATGGGGACACCTCCTGGCTTTTTTATCCGCCGGGCTTCTGTGGGTTTGTCGATGACGAGCTAAGTTGCTGGAGGTGCTGTACTTTTTGCCGCACTCGGTACATTCGTGTTCGTGACCCTCTGCGGGAGACGTGGATGACGGGTGGGAAGATGCGTCCGGCGTGGTGGAGTGTGGCGAAGGAAGCTGAGGGGGTTTTGGAGCGAATGTGAAAGGTTGCTGTTTCGGATCTTCTTCAGTCTGTAAACAGAGGTTGCTGATGTAAATCAATCGTTGGCCCTAGTAGCAATGTTTTTCAGTACTTGTCTGCCAATAATCTAGGTAGGGATATTGAAACAGATAGGACAGAATTATGGTTTCAACACATATACAATCCAGAAGTTGAAAAACAAAGCCTCAGATTTACGTAGAGATTGATATAAACCCAGATCAAACAATCAGAAAATCAAGTAATTAGTAACTATCATATAGTTTGGTGAAAAAATAGAAACAATTACAGGAATTTCCTTCAAGGACCATGTGGATTGTGGACAAGATGGAGAAATCTCGAGTTTATAAGATTGTGTCCGGAATATAAACTGGGTTACTTTGCTATTAGACAGTTAAAATCATTATTTAAAAAATTCAAACATCCTGAAATAGAAAATAGATTCAGAAAAGGTGAAGAATTCAGTTCTATCTGGTCATTCAGTAAATTTTCAGAACCTAACCACTGAACTGGTCTTAAAAGTCCAATCCTGAAAATGAAGGCGATAACATTTCCCCTTACGAAGACCTTACGAAGAAGCTGATGTGGAATTGGTCTTATTGCTGAATCCAGGTTAGGATATGTCCATGTATGTCGATTATTACGATTACTACCTTTTATATTCACAAGACAGAAATAGCAATCGTCAAAATGATTTTTTGGTTCCCTCCATACCATTGGAACACCAAACTTTAAACATTTTCGTTGTCCTTTCGTCCACTGTCGCAAGTTTTCAAAACAAGTTTTGCACACTACATATGGAGCCCAGGATTCATCTTGATCTCCCGAAGGAAAACCAAAATAGGCTTGATATGCCCTTTTTATAAAGTCCCAAACTGGCTTTCTACTTACATAAAACGGAAATTTTCAGGTGATCTCGGTGGTGAAGGTGAGCTTTAGAGAAGTTGGAATTGATATTAGGCTAGTAGTAATAAAACTGACTCTTTATATAATACCCAGATGATAATTTCGTAGTTTAGATTTAAGCGTCAGGCGCATCAGCTGTCACTTTTGGAGGTAAGAGCCCT